CAGCCATAGATGACCCGGCGGCTACACAGCCAAAGCTCATAAAGTACCCTCAGACACTTTTCGGACAAAAGAAAAGGAGCTTCGCTGCCCACTGGTATGACAAGTACACATTCTTGGAGTATAGCATTAGCAAGGACAGTGTGTTTTGTAAAATGTGCCTGCATTTTAGAGAGAGAGGCCGGGCCAGTACAGGGACTGGAAACACATCGACTATGCTCTCAGTAAACACGAATGTCCTATTTTTATTAGATTATTAACAAAAATCGCGAGAAAACATTTGAACAGGCCCAGCCGAAATTACATTGGCCCACCCGCAATTGAAATCCTGGCGCCGCGGCTGAGAGTGTCTGTATTTGTCTTCAGTTCATCATTGACAGACTTTTAATAGGAGCTGAGGTTGAACTTCCCAGGATTTGGGAAAAAATAACCTACAACATTGCAAAAATGTACTGTATGCCATATGCATTAACACAGCCGTAATGATTGGAAAATTCAAAATGAAAAAGCCAGAAATGTCCGTAGTAAGGCACAAGGGTCAAAGAAAACAGACGTAAGCTCTAGTGCTGATCTAAGTTCTCTCCTCTCGATGTTGCAGGGTGAACGTCGAGGCTCTCTGGAGTTTATCCGCAATGAAACTGCCATCATCGACTTCAAGAAGAAGTTTGGTGACGACTTCTCAGATGTCATGCCTGACATCACAGCGGACACGTCAGACGATCACGGTGCAATGTCTTCTATGAGGTGAGCAAATAATTAGCCTGATTCACACATTAATCACATGAGAAGGCAGTCTATAAATACACCAACAAGTTCAACCAGAAATAACCTAATTACAAAACTCTTGAATTCCTTTCATTAGTTTTATTCAGTTTCAATAAATATAGATTATTTATAAGTTGAAAACTAGCATTAAAAGATTTGGAGTGAATATATCCTTACATGATATCTGCTTAGACACTGCTCCCTGGTGACTAAAAGCAGTCACATCATCTTTTCTCACCCTTGGAAACAAACCATACACGTAGGAATTATCTTGCACAGACCATGCAGATCCAAATCTCCACCAGATTTGATGAGAACCATAAATGAGTGCTGTACTTTTGTGTGATAACAACTGACATATTTTATTCCTGCTGTAGAAGAGACACTGTGCCATCGATAAGCCTGGAAATGCACGAGCAGACCATGAACGGTATGAGGGAGTCAGAGGACATCAACACTCACCACCTGCTGCAGCAGCACCTGTACAAGGGCAGGAAGCAGGTAGACATACTCAGTCTCATTACTATACACACTGCATTCACAACAATAAAAGGATACTACAGCAATAAAGTATTGCACTTCCATATTGCTCTATGACTCACAAGAGTACATATTTTGTGTTTAAAGGAAGATTGGTCAAAATGAATGCTTCAGAGGGCAAGATATCCAGATTTTAAGTCACTGCTAGCACCAGAAATGGGGTAGCCTTAATTTCCCATAATGCAACATAATGGCTTCATGCCACTTGCCATATAATAACCCACTTTCCTACAAACCCTGCCTGAATTTGTCATGATCAGTTATTTTTTAAAGTGAGAATGATCAAATTGTCAAGTAAACTGAACTTGTTTTTTTATTTCTCATATTCACTCTCAATTTCTGGCGTGCAGCACCGCCACAGATACAGCCGGAGTCACTTTGACACCAACAAAGATGAGAATGAGGTGCAGGAGATCTTCCAGAGGACCATGAGGAGCCGTTTGGAGTCCTTTAAGTCCACGAAGATGGGCGTCGCTCCACCAAAGGCGATATCCAAGCACCCAAAGAAAGACCAGCAGCAGAAGGTCATTTCATTACATACATGGGATTTTAGGCAATTACCAAAAGGGCTAGGTATTGTTGCCGTTATTAATAAAACAGGACAACATGATTATATTTATCAAAGTATTCCAAAAATGTACACTAAATGCAAATACACCCAGCCCTAACAGTACAAATGTGCGTTTTATTGATGTACGTTTCACATTTTGTAACTTATTTTCAAGTTGTTATTTAAAGATAAACTGATTGTTCTACCTCCTGCAGATGCCAAATGGAAAATCAAGGGACAAAAGTAAAACCAACTATTCTGGTGATGAAGGTTTGTTTCTGTTTTCATTTTAAAGGAACTTGTTATACGCCCTGAAGCCAAAGCCCAAGTGTTTATGAAAACCTTCTTTTTGAAAAACTATTTTTAATGTTCTTTCTAGATTTTGAGTTCTCAGAGGGAGACAACGCCTCTGGCTACGAAGCTTCAGGCCATTCATTCCCAATGAGGGTCACCTACAGGGCAGGAGGTAAATAAACCCATTATCTATTCCACTTATCCTGTGATGGAAGAACTACTAAGGCCCCGCTCACACGGGACCGTTTGCGTTTATGCACAGTATGCGTATTCAAAAAAGTATTCCGTTCACATGCATTCGTTTCATTTAACGTGTCTGTTCAAACGAGGCCGCTGGAAACGCTGTAGTACATATGCCGGGACTGTAAGTGGCGCTGTAACTTCCGCCAAAATACACCAAAAGCCGCGAAGAAGAGCAGCCCCGCCGCAATGTTGCCATGGCTACCCTTCTGTTTAAGCCCCGCGGTGTATTTAGCAACATGTAGTTCATGTAATTCTCCATGTCCACTTGTTGCTGATGGTTGTGGTAGAGGAGCTGTAGATTTTGCACTAATATCTGTAGCATGGTCAGTAGCAGTAGCACTAGCAGTAGCTACTGACAGGAGGAAGTCAGTGTGTGTGGCGATTGCTGGTATTCAGCGGGATATAGTCATTTCCTCAGCATATGGATAAATGCAACGGGGAAGTTAACTGAAAGAAACCGAATCTGTGGATATTGCATCGACCGACCAAGAAGCACGTCTCCGTGGAGAGGACGCGCTCAGAAAGAGAGATATTCTCTACAAACACCGGGTGAGATCGCACCTTTGTCAATATAATGGATCAATGCATGAAATCTGACTCTGTTTATTTTGTTTAAGGAGTATATTGGGCGTTAACAATTCTGGTTTGCCTTTTATAATATTATTTCATTCAAGAACCCCTTGTGCGTTTAATTAACACAGCTATTTTTGATAGTTGCTACAGCAGTGAGCAGGAGAGGTGGGGAGAGGTGGGGCTATCGCTATTTTTTCAGGAAATATTCGTATAGAGGTGATTACACGGACTCGGTTGACCCCCCAGAGTGTTTCGTTTGCAAATCTATCCACCTTGGGACCCGTTATCGTTTGTGGGGTCAGTTTCTATCGGCCTCGTGTAAATAATAGGGCTATACGCACGCGAAACTATGCAGATACAAGCAGTTTTCTCCTCGTGTAAACGGCGCCTAAGAGTACCAATACAACTTTTTATAAATAAGCTATTACATGTCAAATAAATTCAGTCAAATTCGTATATATACTGCATATATATGAGTATTTAAGTATTATGAGCAAAAAATACTCAGAGTATTGTTTTTCAAGTGAAAATACCCCCATTTGAATATATACGACAATAATAGAATTTGAATGCATCTCCAAGTCTGGAAATATTTTACTGTTGTAGATGCCTACGTTTGGATTAGTTTAAAATACTTGTACAGTTAGGTATTTTAGAGTTGTAAATAGTTGGATAAGAAGGAATTAATAAAGTTACACTGCATGAATGTTTAAAAAAAACGTTTTCTTATAAGCGTTGCAATTTTTGTTTTGACCTCTTGTGGGCTTCAAACTGTTCAGGGAAATCCCTCTTTGGTAAAAGTACCATTAACTCCTTTTAAATAGGATAGGGGCCGAACTAGACAGTTGCACATAAGCCAAAAAGGTTGGCAAGCACTGTTTTAATCTTTTAAATACTTTCTAATTAATACAAGGTATCAAGAGGTTTTACAAAATAAAATATGAAATACTCAAGTAAAGTAGAGCAGTTGAGCAAATGTTCTCTCCACCAATGTATATCTCCCCCAAACCCTGTCAGCACTAATCAGTGTCTCCCTCTGGTGCAGCTGGAATAGAGAACCCGGCCTTCATGCCGGACCTGGACCCCCTGGCCCCGGTGCAGACCCACCCCTGGCTGTCGGAGTTGGAGCTGGACAGCAGCAGGGTGGCCCCCTCGCAGCGGGCCCAGGTCCGGCTGCCGCGGGGGCCCAGCGACCTGCGCCGCCTGGCCCCTCCGCGCATCAGCACCCGCTCAGACGACTCCTTCCTGCAGGCCGACGTTCCTCTCACGCCTCCACCCCCAGCCACGCCCGCCCCACCACCATACCATTATGATGGCTCCATGTAGCAGCCTCCAGGAGACTCAGAACCTGACCTCAGACTTTGCACCGTCTACTCTCAAAATATTGACTTGGGAATGTTTTCTTTTCCGGCCAGTTGCTTAATCTCACTCCTGAGTGTTTATACGAAACATTCACAGTCCCACAACCTTTGTGCCCCCCACCCCCCCTCCCCCTCAGCTCCTCCTGTTGCTCTAACTTCACCGTCCACCGAGCAAAGGGAAACTGCCTGTAAAGCACAGACCCTCTATGCACTGTGGTTATTCACCAGCACTTCGTAAATCAGTCCCATGGAGTATCTTATCCGTGAATGTGATGTAGAAACCTTTTTTTAAGAATATAGATATTTATAAATTGTGTGTTTATAAAGTGATCATTTAATTAGAGGGAAATGAAGGAAATTCCAGCTCTATAATTTAAAATGTAGTGCTCTTTCCTATTTGTCTCAGACCTACGGAAGTCCTAAACGGCCATGGTTCAAAAATTGTATTTCCTTCGTTTTTTCTACAATCATGAATTAATTTCATTGTTCTCTCACAAGTTATTTATGTCATTATCTGGAAATAAAAAAATTGTTTTATCAAAATAATAGGATGATTTGCTAAAGATATCGAGATAACAATAACTTTCTCGAGAACGAAAGAAATACGTTTAATACTACACAACATATCTCGTTATCTGGGGAAAACATTTGTTTTTGGGGAAAATGAACATAAATAATTTTCAAACTTGGGAATACAATTTATTGAATTTGTTATTACAGGAAAACATGGTTTATAAAATGTTTGAAGATGGCCGTTTAGGGCTTCCATACGGAACAGTGCCTGAGGTTGAATATTAAACTTGAATAACACCATTGTAAAAATGTCACATGTATGATAAAGACATATTATATTTATTCACACATCTGTGCCTAAGCAAACTGACAAATACTGTATATTATATATTCCTCCAGCACAGAACACTTTTACTGACTACTTTGAATTGAATGCATTTTAACTATAGATTGAACAAATTAAAATAAAATATTTGTATAGTCAGTAACATTGTGTATATGTGAAATAATTTGTCAAAAATGTATCCACAGCTGATTTGATAAATCAATAATCATTGATTAATTCATTTATCAATAAAAAAGTAAAACATGGGCGGCTCTTCTCTTGTTTGTATTATAACTGCTGATAAAAAAAGCTTTTTGAGCTAAATCTGGCATATTTAAATCCAACAGATAACTAGAATTAACACATCATATAAATACCTAATACGTGAAATTAAGGTTATTTTTTAAAAAAACACGCGACTCTTACCCATACATTAACAATATTAGTAAAACACTTATGGATCAACAATTACGTTTTAATGAATCACCCTTTAATATTTACCAAACATTCAGTCAAATTCATTTACCACACAATATTACACTTCTCATATGTATCCAGAAATATTTTTTTATACAATTATTTAATAAAAAAAAGATTTACACAGATTTCATTATAAATAGTCCATTTCTGATGTTTCCACCTGCTTTGTGACGTAGTCTAAAATGATCTTTTCATTCCCAGAATCCTTCAGGTAGAAATGGGATCCATCCAGCATCCTGATGGTGAAATCTCCTGAAGTGATGCTTTTCCACGCTGTAGATAAAATTCATAACTATAATTAATGACATAATGAACCTGGAAACAAGTACATTTACAATCAGCACATACAGCACTGCACTTACAGCATGACATGTTTGCTTATTGTCTAATATGCATGCAAACAATATTAGCTTTAGTGTCACTGCAGGCTATTGTTAATGAAGATGAAGTGTATTTATTCTATTCAAAAGGGATAGTGCATAGTTATAAACCATAAAAGTGTCCATATCAGATTCTAGCTTCAATTTGCATCTTCAGAAGCTGTTCAGATTAAAAGGCACAATAACAAAACATAAAGAGTAGGCATAATAGAAGGTAAATAACAAAGAACACAAAATATCACATCCCAAATGTATGCTCGTCATACAGAAGCTTGTCAAGTAGAACATAACATAGGTTTGTGTGTGATTTTAAGACTCTTATTCTGTACATGAATCAGTAATATTTCAATATTCCGATGCAGAAAACCTCAAAAATCTGCTACATTTTATAGCTAGAATGCATTCCTGAAACCAAATGTTCCATTTCTTCTGACCCTGAGCATCCAGAAATGTACTTGCTTCCTTTATATAATATGGTATAGTATATCGTATATATATTGAGTGTGTGATAAAGCATTTCTTGCGTGAGAGGAATGACCTTGTAAGTCATGAGGAATGTCGTCCTTTCCATCAAAACAGGTGAGCGGGCAGGAGAGGAATGGATGTTCTGGCTTGTTGTACCTGCAGGAGAAATAGCAACAACACACATTACACACATTCATTCTGCATCTGGATCTGATCTCCAGATAAGTATTTCTTATATCTCGATTAAACCTCCCCAATTGATGACGTCCAGTAAGAGCATTAGGTTTGGATCTGGCATTATATTAATTATCCTCTAATTTGCATTCCATTTGAAAACAGAAATGTAACATTGGATGAAGCCAAAATTGTTGTTAACATTTTCTTAACATATTAGAATTCAAAGGGGGTTGGGGGTTGTTACTATCGCAGAGAAATAACGTCAACAGCCATAAAAGAAAACCTTTGTTTTAAAAGGCCTCTGTAAAAACGACAGAACGTAGATAGGATAGCAATACAACTAGAAAGTTGACTTTATGTAAGTGCTACTAAACTGGAGATTTCTGCCTCAGAGTGCAACAACTCCTAAAGATATGCTACATTTCATACATTTAGCAGACAATGCAGGTGAATAGTGTAAAATGTGTTAAACTAAAACATGACAATGAAACTTCCCCTGTTTGGTACGACTCCCTTAGTATTTTAAAATATCAGAAAATTATGTTTAATTATGCAAATGAGGTCCGGAGACTTGCATATGTATTTTGGATGCTAGACTGAAAGAACTGTCAGCCCAAACTCTAGGAATTTCAGAGCATGAAAAAAAGAGCTTTGCCTTTAATCTCTCGCCTCAAAATGAATGGTTGAGAAGAGATCAGTAATAAAGATGTGCCCCACCTGTAGTTCTCCACAACGTGCAGGTCGGCCTTCAGCGCAGGGAGGAAGAGCTTCAGAACCTCCGGGTTGGCCAGCAGCTCAGGAGGAGTTCCTCCAATCGAAATCATCCACTGCAGGAAATCCTCATCTGATAGGTTGCTTCTCTTTGGGGCTTTGATACGCGTCTCTGACTTAAAGACAACATATGAATGGTTCATCAGCAACACCAAACAGGTATCTTCTAATATATATATATATATATATATATATATATATAATCCTAAGAGTTTACATAAATATAAAAGGAGCCAGATGGTTTGTGCCGTAAATATCCTGTACGTTTTACTCACCTGTCATTAATGACTTCATGGTGTCTAGTCTTCAAAGGTTTGCCTCCTTATATTAACAAAGTTAGCGATACTAAGTGGATAATCCTGGATTAATACATTTAAATGTATTAACTTACGTAAGGTGCAGAGGCACCAGACAGGAAGATGTGCACAGGTTCCAGGTTATGCACTCTCTTCAAAGCTTCTGCCACAGCAAAACTGGTGAAGGCACCAAAACTGAAAACAGATCAGGATAGTGACAATGTTAAGAGAAAACAAGTTGTGATATAACTTATAAATCCTGTATTGGTGACATACCTGTGTCCAAACAGAGCGAAGGGCTTCTCTTTCAGCAGCGGTACCAGCGCAGCAACGACCTCGTCCACAACCTGCTGCAGGCTCTGATGGAACGGCTCTCTGGATCGGCTCTCTCTGCCGGGAAGTCTGACAGACAACACTGAGGGTGATAAAACAAATAGTTGGAACATTTCATTGGAGGGTTCTGCATTTGTTCTTATTTATTTATGAAGCTTTTTTAAAACCCTCCAACCTATCTGGTGCAAAAATGTAGGAATATGTACTTTTTGTTACTGGGCCCCATACTGTATACTTGGAATAAACATAAAAAATGCTTAGATTGGTCTCATTAATACTGCTGAGACAATTGCATTGCTTTTTTGCTAAACCTACTGATAACTTTCATTGCTTTCTAATTTTCTTTTCTTTTTTATTACAAATATATCCATGTATTCTTCTTATATTGCTTTTTCATTTTAGCTGTGTCTTTATTGGTTGTATATACCAAGACACCATTAAAAAAGAGTGTTCTCCCTCAATGTGTTTTCTGAGGTTAAAAAAAATAATAATACAAACAAATATATAAATATATATATATATCAATAATATTAATAATAATTAAAGAAAATGTATGTCTTGTACAAAGCACTGTTCAGTAAAAAGTACAATGTGTTATCAAAGTACAAGGATATCCTTTTAAAGTTCAAGTCCCACTCCCTTTTTTTACGTTACCTTTTGTTTAACCAATTATATTTGACTGTACATTAAAGACTACACTGGCAACATCAACAAGCATCTGATTAGTCGTGAATATAGTGCAAACAGTAGAGATAAGCAGGGCAAAGTGCAGCAGCATGGTACCTTCTATGGAGCTGTGGAGGACGTTCCCCCAGCGGGCGTAGTGTATGGAGCCTCCACCCGCCCAAGGGAAACAGATGAGTCGGGCCACAGCGTCTGGCCTCTTCCTGAAGCAGCTGATCACCTTTTCCATTCTACTGCAACACAAGAGCAACATCCAACAGTCACTCACGAGTCACATCTGCTGGGAGTTAGTTTATGTTGAAAAGGGGAAAAACACGTAATTATGGGTAACTGCGGGGTAGTGGTGGTCTAATGGATAGTGAGGTGGGCTGAAGATCGGAAGGTTGTGAGTTCAAATCCTGCCTGGAACACCACCACTAGTGTGCCCTTGAGCAAGGCACTTAGCCCTCAGTTACTCCAGGGAGAATGTCCCTGTAATTGGTAATTGTAAGTCGCTTTGGATAAAAGCGTCAGCTAAATGAAATGTAATGTAATGTAACTATAAGCAGAGGTGGGATGTAACTAATTACATTTACTTAAGTAGAGTATGGAGATACTTGAGTATTTCCATCTTGTGGTACGTTGTACTTCTGCCCCACTACAATTCAGAGGTAAATTGTGTACTTTAACTCTACTACATTTATTTAATACGTTTAGTTACTATGCAGATTTTGATAATGATAAGAATGTGTGATATACATATAACTCTGAAATCAGACTTTAGTTGGTGGAGTAAATTCACAAGCTACCCTGCAGTATACAAAGTCATTCAAACTAGCTGCACCTTTACCAGCTATGATAACACTTTAATGATCGTCCTTATAAAACACATCATATATATTATTCTGAAATGGACCAATCTGCATAATGAATGAGTACTTTTACTGTTGGTACTTTAAGTATATTTTGATGCTAATACTTTTGTACTTTTATTTGAGTAACATTTTGATTGCAAGACTATTACTTGTAACAGAGTATTCCTACACAAGAGTACTTCTACTTTTACTTAAGAACAAGATCTGAGTACTTCTCACACCTCTGACTATAAGAATGGTAATCATACCTGTTTGTTGCAGGCAGCTCCATCAACTTCTCCCAGGAAAGCTGTGCTAATTCTTCATGCTAAAGCTAAATTCTATCACTTCCTGGTTATTTTCTTCTATGGTACTTCTATGGAGCTGTTGTAAAAAGTTTAGTGTGTTCTGGAGACATCTACAGTATGGAGTGTGTATGTCCATAATCATTATCAGTAGGCTTTCACTGAGCTATTAATTAATAATTTCATAATTTGTAATAAGATAAATCTTATATAACATATATCGATAGGACAGGATACAACAACAAATACACGCAGTTATTTAACATCATTCATGACGTAAATAGATGAGAAAAAGTTTCCCGGAAGTGACGTTTTTTTCTATAGTTGGTATTTCCTAACGGATTTCCCTCGGAGGTAGAGGAGGCAGCAACAGCATGGTCAAGTTAGACACAATTAAACAGGCAAATACCGAAAATACCACAACCTTCCATGATAAATTGATAGTATTGATCTGCATTTACTTTTGAAGCAATACAAAATACTTAGCGAAAGTAGCAATACAAATAGCCTACACCAGCGCCATATAGATAGAAGCGCTGGCCTACACTAGTAAAATCCCTGCATGGACAAATGTATTCAGGTCTTCAAAATAAAGGCCTTTTCAGAAGTACTATCTGTAAGTCAGGACCATTTGTGCACCTTTCAAAGATGTGTATATCAATATGTACTTGTGTATATTATTTTAGTGTACTAACAAATTGAAATGCAAATGATTAGTTTGATTTATCCAGTGGTACAGAATTGGACGAAATCAAATATGTATATATTAATTTAATTTTTAAGGACTCTAAAATAATTAAATAAGAAGGAATGATTACTGTTAAGGAGGGTTGACATTCAAATAAACATAGCCTCATTTCAATGATACATGCATTTAGTTTGTTTTAAATATTTTTACAAGTTTACTATATATGTTTTTTATGTAAAATCTTAATAAGAAAAATGTGATGGAGTAAAAACCAAATATAAACATTCAAAGTTGAGGCGAGTAGAAGCATGAAGTAGGCCAGTTTATAATGGAAGTACCTCAAATGAGTGGATTTGAAAGATATTTTACTTATTTACAAGGCTTTGACAAGGCCCTATATTACTTATTCTTTGTCAGCAGCTCAACTTTTCTTTTTAATTATGCACCACAACTATGGGATTACTTACCAAAGGGATGCCAACTCTCCTTTTGATGTATTATTATCTTCAACATGTTTTAATGCTCTTATGCCTGCCTATCTTTATTTCTGTTATACACATTTTATTTTTCTTAGCATACTCTTCTCTTCTTGTTTTTATTAATGTGTTGGTTTATTTTCTTGATATCAAAGCAAAGATGCTATATAAAATTCAATAGGACAGACTTGTGCTTTTATTTTTGAAAGGGTATTCCGGATGTCTTGATTTCATATTCTCGCTAGCTTTACATTAGTGAGCAAGAGGGCGGTGTAAGTGCAGATTTCAGACCGGGTACTCGCCAATACCGAGGAGGACGCCGGGGCAGTGAACCCCTTATATCTGTTTGATAAAGAAGAACAACTCCAGGATATTCAAGTTTACCAACCGGGACGACGGATTCAGCCGGTGACAGGGTAAATATTCATACCGGTGCTGTGTGTCGAGTTGCCAGTCAGTTGCTAGTTGTCGTCGGCTAAAGCTAACTGTCGCTGTTAGCTTAACCACCGTCAGTTAAATTTAACCAACTCCGAGTAAAACTGTCACAAACAATTCCAACTCTAAACATGACGTCGTTTTTCTTTCAGATACAACATAAAGAACTTCCAAAGACGGATTAGGGTACATTTTGTACTACTTTGAGCTGTCAGTTTCGGTAAGGCAGTTCGGTGGGGAAGAATACTTCCAGCCGAGGGGACCCCTCAAGCGGCCCGCTTACACTCAGCAGAGACCGAAGCCTGGGGAACAGGGAGCCGCGGAGCCGGAGTGCGGCGTGTCGGCCAGCGGGTAGCCGAGTCCTAACCTGTGCGGGGAGAAGTAATCACTGGGCGCCGGGTCATCCGGACAGAGACCTCATGAATGGAAATCGGAACAACAGGTGGGATCCCCCGACTAACCGCCATGCTTAATTTGGTGTTCAGGTGCTGCACTTGAGTTATTTGCAGACAGTGTGCAGGCTAGACACACGTTAGACCCCCATGATTGAACATTTGGGATCGGCAAGTTGATATAAGCATAGGTTGTAGATGTACTCAGATCTTGTAAATCAGTAAAATGAGAAGTACCATAGTGTAGGAATACTCTTTAACAAGTAAAAGTCCTGCATTCAAAATGTTACTCGATTAAGAGCACAAAATAATTAGCATACAAAAAATACTTAAAGTAACAGAAAGTAATAGTACTCATTATGCAGATTGGCCCACTTCAGAAACATATATAGTAATGGATTATAATGATGCATGTGTTTATCACAGCTGGTAAAGATGGAACCTGTTTAATGACTTTCTATACTGCAGATGTAACTTAAGTCCTTTTTCAGTGATGACTATATTTCATATCATTATTCCAAAAACTGCAAAGTAACTGAAGGTATTAAGTAAATGTAGGTGAGTAAAAGTACACTTTTAAACTCAGTATTGTAGTTGGGTAGAAGTACAGAGTAGCAAAATAAATTAAATACCCAAAGTATACAATTTCCTCCAAAGTGTACTTAAGTACAGTACTTGAGTAAATGCACTTATTTACTTTACACCATTAGTTGTTAACACTGTGGCAGTGGTGGAAAGTAACTAAAACCATGTACTTAAGTACAATTGTGATGCACTAGTACTAGATTATTTCAATTTTATGCTATTTTATTCTAATTTAGAGAAAACTATTACTTATTTGATGACTTTAGTTACTAGATGATTTTCATAAATATATTATTGATAAAACATTTAAATTAACCATTAAATTATGTTGTAGTATTATACATTAAGCTGAGGTTTACAAAGTAATTAATTAGAAATAGCTCCACCTTTAGCACTTGCAAAATTAAAATTATAAACGCATAAAGAATCACTAACTATAATCCAGTTATCCAATCTATATTATTCTACATGATAAGTACTTTCACTTCTGGTACTTAAAGAAGAACAATACTTTGATACATTTACTTAAATAATATTTTAATTCTATGCCTTTTGCTTGTATCAGACTATTTTTGCACTGTATTATTACTACTTTTCTCAAGTACACTAAATGCAATGTAATGTAAAAGTACACTATCTGAATACTTCCTTCACTGTGCACTGCACTGCATCATGGGCACTGGAGGACAAGCAGCTCAGCTTGAAAACCCCATTCAAATTCCCATCTCCAGCTCTAACAGTCATAATATACTGGCTTTATTGTTACTCAACGGAGTTTTACCGGTCATATTTGCGCCTTGGTGTGCATGTGTGTTTGTAGGTATTCCCCCAAACCAGTCCCGCAGGCTTTTCTGTATCGTCTCTACGTCATTCTCTGCCTAGCTGTCAGAGGCAGGTGGTGATCCCGTCAGGTGTGCGTGAAGCCTGAGAGGGGCTGACTCACTTTCAGTTGTGTGTTTGTGGGTGTGTGTTCATCTTTTTTTGAAGGGCAGGCTTTCAAACCAGCTGCTGCTATAGTTACCCTAGCTATTGAATAATGTTCAGTTAACGGCTCCCTTTCATAATTACAAATCAATTGAGCGTGGATGGACGGACGTTAGTCAATTTACATTGGTTGCCAAGGGGCACACATTGTGAGTCACAGCTTTTGTATTATTGATGTTGTTGAGGCCAGTATTGGATTGGGAGGGGAAAAAAGAGGCAAACTGGTAGACTGAAACTGACCCATTCAATCTCCACAAACTCCATCCGTTTTTCACCTAATGAGCAGTAAAGAACAAAGCTATCCGAGAGAAACATACATTTAGCAAACAGTGTCAGCCTGTCCAAACCCAGAGACATGTTACATTTATAGTGGAGACCGAGTAAACCTAGACAAGCTGTAAATCCTCATGACTAGGAGCTGGAAGATAATAATGTTAATCATAATTAGCTTTATTAAAGGGGCCCTATTGGGCTCAATTTCGGACTTTTTATTTGCATTAAGTGCCTCTACTGTGTCTGCTCTGATTGGTCAACCTTAGAGATGTCCTGCCTATCACCTACAATGTGTTGGAGCACTGGGCAATAGAAGCTTCAGTGTTACATAGTAAGGTCACTATATGAGGTAGTAAAGGAGTCCAATGGAGGTGTTTCAGGCAGGGGGTGGGGGAGACATGTAATGCAGACCATTTACATGCACAAAAACCTATATAACACACTACAGGAAATGCATAATAGGGCCCTATAACATATTGCAAGTGTTTGTCTGCATATTTCAGGCGTTTTAATACTTTAAACCTGCTGGTAAAATTATATTAATAATAGTAAAAGTTTCACACATTTCTGGTCTCCAGATGTTAAGTCTGTACAATATTGTGTCAATAAAGTTCTCTCTCTTGAAGTGTGTGGGTTGAAAGAGAGCTCTGTGTGGGCTGCTATTGTCTGAAGTAGCATTGCGGTGCATTTGTTTGATGACGGAGCCTGATAAGTGGTCATTCATCTCTCCCTTGTTGCTCAATATTGAACTTTTGGGTTTTTGGGTCATTACCGGGCTGCTGTCTTAGTTGAGGATGTTTTCTACATTTCCTCGAAAGAAAATCTAAGTTGGAATTTTGTGTGTTATTGATGATTGAAACACCTGTCTTTAGTTTTTCATAAAACTTAAGACATTGAAACAAAATCGTTCGACAGGCAATTTTAAAAAAGCAAGGAGAGGATTCGCTATGAGCCTTTATTTTGTCAGTCATTACACACAAACCAGTTCAGAACTAACGGGATCTTCTTAAGGGCAGATATAGTACAAATGGATTGATAACAAGTATTAAATAGACAATATTGAAAAATACCTGATAATAAAAGAACCAAAAAATACTGAAAGCATTGGAATGACATGAAAATAAGAAATGGATAGTTAAAAAAAGTTACATTTCATTAAGTTTTCTGGCTGCCCCAAATCATTCACTATTCGCATTCGCTATAAAAAGTTTGCCAT